GCATGACTTTGTTGAGTAATAATCCCTAAAGCCGACATTTTTACCTTGATAATGAAAATGCGGGGCGTTACATTCAAAGCACCCAACATAGGAGAAGTTCAAAGCGCATTGGCTGGCTCTCTCCACGTGCTCCACCATCTCCTCCTCCAGAAGTTCACAACGTAGTGGTTTTCTCCATGTGCTCCATCACCTCCTCCGGCGTGTGCAGGCAGGGGCGGAACCAAGGGCGAGCAGGGGCCATGCCCCCCCAAACAGTGGAAGTTTTTTAATACCCTTAAAGGTATTTTAATTTACGACATAAATTCATCTATTTTTAGCATAATATTATGATTTTTTCATTATAAATACTAACTATGTATGTAAAAATATTGAAGAAGTTATTGAGACGTACATTTATGTATAGATTTATCACACATAGAGATGACATCCTATTTGTTGAAAGGTTCTGATGGCTAGAAGGGAGGTGAATAGCCTATAAAAATTCTACAACAACACTAAACCAAGTGGTTAGACAAATATGAAGCGAAACAAGTTTTGCGCTAGCCTACTAAACATGCAAGCCACCTACTACAATTATATTTGCTATAGTCTCTAAGTATACCAAAAACTAGGTCACTACCACTAAGTTAGTGAGCTCTCAAATACTAACTAAATAGTCTCACTAACCAAACTACACAACCAAGAAAGCTAGCTCTCAAAACTAATTACACTAAAAAGCTTAGCTACACTAGAAAAGTAAATGCAAGGTAGGGTAGTGAAGATATACCGTCGTGGCAAGTGATCAATCAAGAATATCAATGAAATCCCGGTGACAAGATGACACAATGATTTTTCACCGAGGTTCACTTGCTTGCCGGTAAGCTAGTCCCCGTTGTAGCGATTCACCCACTCAGAGGTTCACGCGCTAATAGGCATCACATGCCTCACCCACAACCGGGTGCCGCACAACCAACACAAGATGGGGATCCACAAGCTACGAGCAATCCACTATAGTACATTTTGGCTCTCCGCCAAAAAAGGTCAAGAACCCCTCACAATCACCACGATCAGAGCAAGAGACAAGCACCTTCCTCCGCTTGATGATCCTTATTGCACCAAGCCGTCTAGGAGTCAGCAAACTCCAAGAGTAACAAACGAATCCCGCAGCGAAACACAATCACCAAGTGCCTTTAGATACAATCACTCAAAGCAATGCACTTGGATACTCTCAAATCTCACTAGATGATGATCCAATCAAGCAACGTGAGTTAGAGAGTGTTGGCTATGCTCACAAGGATGTATACTCAATACAAATGGTCAAGAGAGTGAGCAAGAGCCGACCTTAGGGCTTAAATAGAAGCCCCCACAAAATAAAGCTATTGGGCTCAACAGGCAGCCTCCTGTGCAGCGATCGGATGCACTGCTAGAGGTGATGGGACACGCTCGCACTAGCGTCTGGTCGCGCATCCGCCGCCATGAGTCCTCGCGTTCGAACCTGAGCCGCTGATCACCAACGGCTAGCTGCCAACGCCCGCGCGGTTAATGAGTTAGAACATCTAGTGGCACTTTGATAACCGCATTTCACGATGAGTTTTACCCCTCTTAATTATACGGCTATCTATCCTAAATGTGATCACACCCACTAGGTGTCTTGATCACCGAAACAAAGAGCTCCTATCAAATATACCTTTGCCTGAGCTTTTTGTTTTTCTCTTTCTTCTTTTTCAAGCCCGAGCACTTGATCATCACCATGGCCATCACCATCATCATGATCTTCACTATTTGCTCCACCACTTGGAATATGCTGCCATATCTCATTATCACTTAGAGCAATGGGTTAGCACTTAGGGTTTCATCAATTCACCAAAACCAAACTAGAACTTTCATTTGTCCAGCACCCTTAATCTAGATTTATCACAATTAGAGATGTCATCCTATTTGTCCGTCCCCTTAATCAAAATTGCTAGTTTCACCACTGTGTACAGGGTCCCCTTCACTGCATGGAGGCGGGCCCGTAGCTCCTGCACCATCTCCTTGGCCTATCCATGTCGAGCGGCAAAAATTAGTTCTTGATAAATTAGGTTCTTTTTTTTGCGAAACGATAAATTAGGTTCTTGATTAGCTTGTGCTCGAAACACGCTTTGTTCCGGAGCAAGACATGGTGGAGAGAGTCGACATCATGCTTCAGGTTGCGAAGGATACTTGCAGAATCTCGATCCCCAAAACACCCAGAAGAAGCAGGACGAAGACACGAATGGAGCGTGAGTCAATTAAGTATGGAAAGAATCTAGGATCTTCTTTCCTTAATCGGCATGTCCTGTTCGTTTTGCTAAAATTTAGCTTATGCTGCTGCTTATATTGAAATATTGTGAGAGGAAAATATTGTTCGTTCACTGCAGGTACTGCTGAAGTAGTGCTTAACTGTCTTTGCTGTTTCGTTATGTGATGCTGTAATGAAATAGAGTCTTCAGCAAACTTTAGCTCTCGGTTCCCCCTATGTTAAATCTGGAACCTGAAGCATGTCATCGGTTTCCATGGGTTAGTAGCTTCTAGCGTTCTACACTAATTTGTCGTTTCTATCTTGAACTTGCTACAGGACTTTGTATTTCCGTTCATGGTTAAAGGAAATGGGACCTACCTCATGCCCGGGAGAGAGAGAGAGAGAGAGATGTTTGGGCTAAGATGCCAGCCTATGCCCAGGCGCCCAGCCCATGCGGCAAACTCACCCACTAGGCCATTACGAAACGGCGGGCCGGCCCACCACTCAACGGCACCGAAGTTGTGGTAGGGGCAACCTGGATTCGGTCTACGAGAATACTAGTAGAGTGACAAAATCACAGTCGAGCTCTGCGTGGATACAAAAGAGTTTAGGCTGAGCTGAAACTGTTCAAAGAACAGGAGGAACGACTCGTGTTGATCCAAGTTACCAGTACACTCGTTCCTATTTTTCCTTTGCACTTTGGTGCTAAGACTAAGAGAGAGGAGAGTGGAAACAGTGCCTTGGATAGCGGCAGCCGCTAGCGAACAAGACCTGGTCGTGACCGGAGGCACCACTACTCGGAAGGGAGAAACGGCCATGAGCAAAGCTCCACGCGCGGACAAGGCCTCCAGCTCAGCACGCCACCAAAAGGCCTGCATCCGTAGCGATCAGCGCAGGAGCGACGAGGCGAGAGAGCGGCAGAAAAGCAAGGAGCGCTAGCGGGACGGCACGGCGCCCCAGAGTCGCTGGCTGGAGGTGCGGCGAAAGCTAGTAGCGGCCAGCCGGGCAGCCACCAGCCAGTTCACCGCGGTCGCGACAGCCTGCTGCCCCGGGATCAGCGCTCGTGCAGATGGTCCAAAAGCGCGCGCGGGAGGGCGGGAAGAGAACGAACGGTTGTTTGGCGCCGCTGGGGGGGCCCGGCCGGCTCCGGCTGTCCGCCCTGTCTCCTCCTTGTCCGCCGCGGCCTGGCCGTTAGTTAGTTTGCGTTGCGGCGTGTGGTTCGTCGCTGTCCCGACCCAGGCCCAGACACCGCATTCACGCCGCTGACCCGCCAGCCATTACCAATGCCGGGTAAGCCGGCTCAAGCTGTTTTTGTCGTGAGAGAAAATACGATTCTAACTGATAAGCCGGTTGATAAGTTCAAGTGAACATACCCTTAATCACATGTCGCTTTCACTACTGAGACATCCATCCATGGACCATGGTGAAAAGGCTAGGCAGCCAGCCATTGGAGGGAGGAAATCAGGAAAGAGAGTGCCGCCCGTTCGTTTCGTCGCCTCAACGGCCGGCTCGGCAATCAATCCCGCATTGAAGCGCGGACGTTACATGTCTCGCTTCCTGGGTTTCCAGCTGAGCGGAGCCGGCCATGCGGTTGCACGGTGGCCATCTTAATTCACTCAATTCAGAACGGAGGCTCGTCATCGGCGCCTTCGTCCTCGCCCAACCATCTCTCCCATGGCGCGGCAATCGGCATGGTCCCTCCCGTCCTGAGCTCCCAGTTCGTTGCGTGCGTCGATCCCCCTAAATTGCTGGCGCTCGCGCGCGCCACTGCGTCGCACAATCAATGGCAGCCAACTGAACCGGAGTCGGTTGTACGTACAAGGTTGCACATGCACCTACCTACAGTACCTTATCAGTTCTGCTGCCGCCTCGTCAGATCCGAATGTATCTTGTCCGATCAGCTGGCGCCTGCAGCGCCCACCCACGTTTTGGTTTTGGTTTGAACCAAGGGCTCGCTCGCTGGTGGTCATGGAGACAGCAGAAGATCTCGCTCGCTGCCAAATGCCAAATGCCAAATGCCAAACGAGTGGGCTATCATTGTTTGACGCAACGGGAGGGATGGAACTGCCGCCCGGATTCGGGTAATCTGATGGGTCAGGCAGGCGAGGTAACGTAATAATTGTCCTGTTCACTTGGCTGATAAGCCACGGCTGTTGGCTAATTTATTATAAGAGAAAAAAATTATTCGTTGATTGAAAAAGTACGACTTATACATCGAGTGATCGGGACGAATCCTCGCGTAGGCGCAGGACATATTCTGGCAAACACGCATTTACAGTGGAGAAGGCGTGAGCGAGAGCCGTGGCCGCCTGGCCGGAAAGAAAGGGTAGATCGAAGAGGAATCAGTGAGTGAGACGTTGGAGTAGTGCAGCTGGGTACAGTACTCGGATGTGGTTTGTATTGTACGAGAAAAACATCCAGCATTTCTTTGATGCGCAGCGCGTACTAGGCCATATAGGGCTGTGGGACTAGGAAGAGACCTCTGCGGCCACGGCACACTGCTCAACCGTACGTGTAGTACCACAACGATTCACTGCTGCCAGTGCAAGTTGCGCAGCTCCCAATAAAGAGCCATAGCTGCTCATACATGTCCTCGCCAAGCTCCAATTCACACCCTGCGCATGAAAAGCTGCCCTCCTTTCCAGCCCATTTAGCTAGCTAGCTGGGGAGGGACAGACAGAGCGAAGAACAGGGAGTGCGCGTCTCAGTGCGGAGCAGTCGAGCAGAGCAGAGCAAGCAGCGGGAGATCAGTGGCAGCCCGATGGCTTGTTCCTTCCTATTCCTAGCCTTCCTGATGACGGCAACGGCGGCGTGTCTGTCAGCCGCGGCCGCCACGGGCAAGCTTGTTCCCCCGTCGGAGACGCCGTCCCTCTCCTTCGAGGAGGGCTACACGCAGCTGTTCGGCGACTCCAACCTCGCGCTCCACGGCGGCGGTAAGCGGGTGCACATCTCCCTCGACGAGCGGACAGGTGGGTCTCGGCTTTGCTGTTTCTGTTCTGTTCTGTTCTCGCCCGATCGATGGCAATGGCACGCCGTGTTTCGTGTTGTTCCTGCTCTGTTCGTGAACCTCATCGTTGCTCTGATCTGCTCCGTTGCGCGCAGGCGCCGGGTTCGCGTCGCAGGCGGCGTACCTCCACGGGCTCTTCAGCGCCCGCATCAAGCTGCCCGCCGACCACACCGCCGGCGTCGTCGTCGCCTTCTACGTACGTGAGCAACCCCCCACACTGCACAAGCCTCTTGCTGGCACACGAACCAATGCGATGTTTTGTATTTGACGAACCCAGCTGGGTGGGTGATGGCGTGATGCGATGCGATGCAATGCAGATGTCCAACGGGGACGTGTACGAGCGGACGCACGACGAGCTGGACTTCGAGTTCCTCGGGAACGTGCGGGGCAGGGAGTGGCGGGTGCAGACCAACGTGTACGGCAACGGCAGCACGGCGGTCGGACGGGAGGAGCGCTACGGCCTCTGGTTCGACCCCACGGAGGACTTCCACCGCTACGCCATCCACTGGAGCCGCCACAGGATCATGTAAGAAGAACCGCCCTCGTCGTCGTCTCCTCACCCTCACTCATCAATACAACATGATATACTGTTTTCTACTCCCTCCTTCTTAAATTATAAGTCATTCAAAAAATATTAGAGAATCAAAACATCTCAAGTTTGACCAAATTTACATAATAAGATAATAATATTTATGATGCTAACTAAGTATCATTAGATTATTCATTAATTATATTTTCATAGTATACCAATTTGATGTCACAAATTTTTATAATTCTCTCTATAATTTTGGTCAAACTTAAAATGCTTTTACTCTCCAAAATTCTTGAAATAATTTGTAATTTGGAACGGAGGGAGTACATACTAGCATGTACTCCTATCAGGATGTATGGATGCAAATCTGAAACACAGTTTGAGGTGATCTGTCTGTCCTTAGTAGACAGGTAAATGAACCAATTAGGAAGATTAATTTCGAGGTGCCCATGGGCATTAGTAAATTTGAGGTGTGCATAGGAAAAATTGGGCAGTCAAACAACAAGTAATAATCCAGCCAGAACAGGCTGATTATATTAACGGAGGTGACTGTTCGCTTGGTCGTAAACTTTCAGCCAGAACAATATTTTTCTCTCACATCAAACCAACCAGCAATAATAATCCACGATCGTATACGATCGTTTCGGCCCCAGCCGAACAGGTTATATTAACCAAATGAAAAGCTCGACTATGATGATTAGGTGATACATTCATGTACAGAGGTTTTTGTGCCCCCTTGATGGCCTGGTGTCAGTACTTCACCTGTTCTGTTCTAACGATGCTTGTTAGTACGATACTTTTTTTTAAACTTTGTTAGTAGTACGATACTAAACAGTGCTGCATATGGCTTGTCTGATTGCGCTGTAGTCTCTCTCTACTACGGTTTACTGGAGCAACTTAACAGTCTTCATTATTAGGTTGAGGCACTTTTTGTTTGATTCTTTCCCATCTCACCCTCTTTCTTTTTTTCTTTTCTGTTTTAATTTTTAGCTCTCATGAATCATGATTGAGAGATATTGGCCTCTTCGTCTTTACAGCTTGTAGATTCCTTTGCCTGTTGTCACTTTAATCATGTAAGTCCTGAGGCCCCAAAATTGACTAGAGGTGGGATTACCACAAAGGGTATCGAAATGTTTGTGCGGTGCAAAGTGTGGCAAAGTATACCTCGTTTAAATCTGAACTGCACAGTGTATAGAGCACAAGCTTCTACTTAGGCAATAGCCAGTGATTTCTGTCACCTCGTCTTACAGTAGCTCGGCTCGTCTCTGCACTGACATTTTTTGCATTTAGACTAGCGTTTCAAATCTTCTGTTCTGAATCAGATTGTGCATTATTTAAACAACACTCTAAAATGTGGCAGTTGTTTCGCCTTTGAGTGATCGAAATGCTATAAATCGCAGATGCATCCTGCTTGCATATATAGCTTCACGTGAAAAAAAAGTGGACATCAATCGTGGTCCATTTACTGCTGCAATGCCCACCACCCTGAACATCCATCCAGCACAACTTGTGCATGAGCTTCTTATCTCTGATCCTCCCACCAATACTCGCACAGTCGCATGCCGCCTTCCCCGGCATGATTGCATTGGACACCTGCTTTACGCCTGTGCCCTGAAGAACTCACAAGCAACCTTTTGATTTCTTGGTAGCATGGAGAAGCAAAAAAGGCCTCTACCATCAATAGACTACCTGCTTTTCAGTTTCACCATGCATTTTGCCATGAACCCCTCTCCTGTTTTCAGGTTCATGCATATCCTTTTAGTTTTCAAAGGAACATGACTCATCCTACTGCCACTAGCGGTCGTACAATCCCAAAGTCTAAAGCTTTGACAATGCCTGTCAATCTCCAGTGCTTAAAATTCAACCTGTCAGTAGATAGACGACTGATAAGCCTTAAATCATGGCACTGACTTTTGCCTACGTAGGAATTCAAACTTCAGAACTCTCAGATTATCTTCTGTTACTATTATAAACTTTATTACGCATTTGCCACTAATATTTCCATTCCGAAAGAATGAATTTTAAATTCGAAAAGTTCACCTTGTTAAAGTTGAACAACCCTCTGCCCGTGCCTCCTGCAGATTCTACGTCGACGACACACCGATCAGGGAGGTGGTGCGGACGGAGGCCATGGGCGCACAGTACCCGTCCAAGCCCATGTCGCTGTACGCCACCATCTGGGACGGCTCCAGCTGGGCCACCTCGGGGGGCCGCTACAAGGTGGACTACAAGTACGCGCCCTACGTCGCCGAGTTCGCTGACCTCGAGCTCCGCGGCTGCGCTGTCGGCCCCGCTACGCCGTGCGCGACGCCTGGCACTGGCAGTGCCAGCGACGGTGATGCCTACGGCCACGCTGCCACGATGTCGCCCGCGCGGCGTTCGGCGATGGAGGCGTTCCGAGCGCGGTACATGACGTACGGCTACTGTTACGACCGCCTTCGGTACCCCGCGCCGCTGCCGGAGTGCAGCATCGGCGCGGAGGCCGCGGCGTTCCTCCCGTCCGGGGACGCGCGGGCGGCATTGCATAGGCACGCTAGGCGCAGCCGGATGCGCCGCGGCGCGGACTCTGCCGTCTGATCGATCGGCAGCGCTGGTGTGTGCCGTGTCGACTGTGATGTGATCTGATCTATGATTAGGGTTCTCGATTAGCAATGCCATTGTAGGGTAACAGTAACCGGAGTTCCACTGATTATAAACCTCGTCGCTCATCGCCTCTACTACTACTCGCAGCATTGCTCCAAGTCTCCAACCATCCATGTTCAGGCAATTTGTTCACCCCGTAGATGGAGCCGTATGCACATTGCACGCCATAAATCTATAATTCCATATGCTTTGCCCAGGTCCTGAATAAGAATACTCGCAAAATCAATCGTTCAGGTCCCAAAAAAGTGATTAGTTCATAATCCATAATCCAGCGTACAACGATAACTCGACAAGGGCTCATCAATAGCAACATAGCCATCTTTCGTTCTCGTTCCAGATTAAGCGTAGCTTGCAATGTTATAATTTCCAATTTTCCATCCACAGCGAACATCTGTAGCGGAACCATCCATCAGGGAAAAATAATTACCATCAGTAGTCTGCTACAGATGCATCAAAGTTCAGTCGGTCACAACAGAGTTGTATGCAAGAAATTTCGCCCACATTTTTCCATTTCAGATGTACTACGTTGATAAGATTTGTGCAACAAAATACATCAGAAATGGTTTTCACTGCCCACAACTCTGTTATGATAGCAGGTGGTAACTTAGGCAATGTGATAATTCCAGATTTGCAACAGAGCAGCTACAAAATTTAGGACAACGTTTTCAGTCTCAAGAACTTGACACTGACGTTTCTTCTCAAGGATAAGAGGGTTGCCAGCGAAGACCTCTGCTAAGCTCTGCGCAAATTCACGGCCCAAAAAATTTAACTTCTCATCTCTCCAGTTTTCTGTTGTCTATGTACTAGAACTCCCCCTCTATTTAGTTGCATGTCCATGTGGCTGGACCTTGCTGCTCCCAACATTCTTCAGACTACCATTCTGCTGCTCCATACCTAAAGCTGACTTCTCATCCGCAGAGCTGCCACCACCATTTGAGCTCCCATTGCATTCTTGTTTCTCCTCAGCTGTGTAAGATCTCTTTGTTGGCGAGTTCTTTGGAGAAAGATTGCCATTAGACATCTCCTTGCCAGCGATCTTATTATGCAGGTAAGCAGATGAACCTTGTGGGGAGTTGGGTTCACCATGGCCATGGGAAGCTGGCATTATCTGATGAGGCAGAGGGTGGTGGCCTGATCCCGGAGGAAGGAAGACTCCTGTACCAGGACCAGGGAATCGTGGCGGTGCAGGCCTTGGAGTAACTTCTTGTATCCAAGTTGTTGTTGTGTTTGGTAAGGGAACAGCTGGCGTGAAAGGTATGGCTGCAGCAGAAACAGGAGCAGGGGCTACAAACAGTGGCTGCATCCCATCAGGCGGTGGGACGTGATGAGGTCCAACCGCTGGTGCTGGAAGTACACCACTGGCGGGAGCATATCCAAAGTGTTTAGGACTTTGGGGATGGCGGGAGATGTTAGCTGGCCTTGATGATTGACCCCAAGGCATAGGAGGTGTTAATGGAGGAGTAAAGCGGGCACTTTCAGCTGGGATGTGCTTTCTTGCTACAGACTTTCCAAAATTTAGTATGACTCTCTGCTTGCGTGTAGCAGGAATAGCTCGCTTTGCACATTCAACACTTTTCCCTTGCATGAGTAGAAGTGACCTGCGTTGAGAGAGACAATAATGTTCAACAAATATGCAGTCTCATGACGTGCTATCTAAACCTTACAAACAAAAGATGAAGAGCTAAATGGATGTTTCCTTAACCAGAAACTAAGCCCACAATGTATTATTCAAAGAGTGGAGTGTGAACTATCAAGCTGTGTCTATGGTTTGAACCTTTAAGAGCCAAATGTAACAGGGAGAAGACACTAGGGATGTTTTACCCAGTTGCGAGCGAGAGCTTCAGAGGACCTCTATGATCACCTCGCTCTCCTACTGATATGGATCGGCCAAACACCATATCACAATCTGTTAAGCAAAGGGTACAAAGAGGTCTACCATACCAAGGAGGGGATTGGTGAGGATGAGAATAGTCTCCCTGAAAAAAAGAAAAAAAAATCATTTAATCATACATATGGTCCATTTCAAGGTGTCCACAATGAGCGATAAAAGTGGTAAAGCAAGGAGCCTTATTTCTTGGCTCACCATTGTGGAGGGAGGTAATAAAATCAACAGTAGCACCCAAACAAGAACGAAACAAATATTAAAATCTCTCCCCTTCCCTGCAACCTCCCCTTACCCCATCCCAACCATTCCTGCTCTCGCCATGTCTATATCTCTCATTTTTCAATTAAAACATGCCCCCACTTGACTGCCTACTTCTGTCAGTGTACATTCCTTTTGAAGGACCCTCCCTTACTACTAGGGCAACATATATTGACCTTGCCCTAAGCCAAAAGAAGCAGCAAATTACCTCACTCAAGATGTCGATAACACAATAATCTGGTTTGAAGGGTATAATTTCCTGCTGAGATAAGCGATCAAACAGATCATGCAGCAACCCAGGAATCGCCTCCACCCTTGTTTCTAGACTCACATTTAATAAGATACAAAGATTGTCATCAAAATGCGATACTACCATTAGGTACTGTAGTGCAAGCTTGATCTACCTCTTTGATTTTCATCATCAGGAGGGCCTTCAATGATAGGAGCGCCCAGCTGAACAATTTCCCTTCCATGACCCTTCATTGGTCTTTTAGAAATAATAACTGTCTGTCCAGCTGTTTCATCAAGTAAAATAGTATTAACTTGACAAAATCCCAAACAATTAACCTCCTAGTGCACAAGGACTAGGACATTTTCCGTTAACACAAAAGTAGAGCACCAAACTAGAGATAAGATTATACCACGGACACACATTATTTTTCTAGGTTACCAGCACAGTTCTATCCAGGTATGCATTCTAAATGCATATTGAAAATAAAGCAAAAGTGAAACAGCATACAAACAAATTTCCAATAGGCTGCACACACATAAGGTCATAAACACAAAAACAAATAACTTCTGCAGGAAATTAATTCAAAAAGGAAAGAACAAACATTTAAAAGGATACCTTCAAGCCCCCCTCGTCGGTAAGAGGCTTTTGTTTCATTAACTAAAGAAAGGATCTTATTTGCCTCGGTCATATTTACCAACCCTTCATAAACCTTGAGCCCTTCAACAGTATTAACCTAAAGGAACAAAAAATATCATGGTTAGCCATAAGAAAGTGCATGCCAACATTCTTTGAAATGTCCAGATGACTTGGCAGGGAAAACTGAATAACCCAATTGAAATTCTACTTCTTTACGCTAACATACCATGCTGCCATCAATGATCTCATTGGTTGAATACTCCACAGGGGTTGCAACCACTTTGCTACTTCCTTCAGAAACAGCTTGCAGCTTTGATTTCTTTTCACCCTCTACAATATAAATAATACAAGGGCATAGTTTAGGAATGTAATATGTAGGATTCTTTAATTTTCTATCACATTTCTTCAAACTCCATAAGGCAACAGTGATTAGGACATGACCAAGAGAAGAGCAGCCAGTCTTGTCTGAGTAGTCAGTTGTTGCTAGCTTATTCCAGCCAAGAAAGCAAAGGGCGTCAAGCTCAGGTCCTATTTATCATACTTTACTCAGAGTTCCTACTTGTCATACATTATTCGCACCCAAAATTTGAGGTTACAACAGAACAGATCCATCCAACGATTTCCATACAAATGGGAACGATCAAATACGTCCACTGATCATTTGAGTCACACCAATTAAAAATGGATGAGCTCACAAGAACTACAAATCAACTAGTTACTTCATGCAGGCAATACCAACAGTTTCAGCTGCTTTGTCGCATTACTGACTCAGTTTCAGTTGTCTATCTCTATCCTAAAGGCACCCTGTTATTAACAAATTGGAAATCATTCCACAATTAGCAAATATACTTAACCATACACAGGGCGTTTTGAGTTGACAAGGCACCATATACCAGCCACGTCAATCGATTTGACTAATACACTTCGCAAAAAAACAATGATGAAGTTTGCATTAGCGACAGTGGAAAGTTAAAAAAAAAAGGCATATGTTTAGAGACAGAAGGGCTATATGATAATTTCATTTCAGTGGGCAATCAGTAAAGACTATATGACGCAACATACAGTAATTAAATAAATGAATATCTAAAAAGAGCACGCATTGTATGCATGTTATGCGCTTGTGTACCATCAAGTATAGGAGAATCCAATCGCAAGCTTTTAGTACTGACGACGTTTCCTGTTTCTTTCAGCCCCCTCCCTTCCTTGTTATGAACTTCACGTCCTAGGAGAAGTCAAGAGCACATGAGAGAGTATTTTTAAACTAATTACTCATGAATTTGCCACCTTTGTCAAGGTTACATGCAAACAGGGAATATACTGCATTAAATGAGTTAAATGAAACCGTAACTGCACTAGCATGTATATAATGAAGAGAACAGCTATTCAACTCTTCCCATGCAGATGCTTGAGTGTAAGATTCAAATACATCATCCTCACATAAATCACAACTCTAAGACAGCATAAGGAATCTATAAACTTGACTCCGTTGCGGAACATGCAGACCTATGAAATGCTCAGAAAGAACAGTCTCCACATGGAGAAGCTCTGCATAGTTCTGCACGTGCCTATATACATAACTTATACAGGAAAGGTAGTTCTGGATAACATTATCAGTATCTTTAGGGCCTCCCCAATCGGCAATTGGTACAGAATCACACATTTCAGCACGTAAAAAGCTTGCCTTTTTAAGACCTCGACATTTATTAACACATACACAAGCCAGAAGCAGCAACGCTTCATCAACTTTAGACTACCACATTAACATGTACAGATGGATATCAGCATTTTGGCAACAAGCATCATTGGTTCAATACCTTGAAGACCGATCAGCAAGCAAGAAAATCAAATGCACACTGAAAATGCATTTGATGGATCGTGCCGTTTTATGATCCATCAGAACGGAGGGGTAAAAAAGGAAGTCCGTGTGGCAACGAAACAGACACTATACTAACGCCAAACAAAGAAAATAAGAGTATACTATCACACAAAGAGAAAATAAGAGCATATACTATCACACAAAGAGAAAATAAGAGCATACTATCACACAAAGAGAAAATAGAGCACGGTATCACACGAAAAGATCTCGTCTTACCATCTTTCTCGGATCCACTCGCCGCAAAGGCGCTGCCGCCGCGCGCTGGATCGGGGCGGTAGTGGCCGCCGTGGCGATGGTGTTGATGGGAGTGATGGGACTGCGAGAACGCTGGGCGGCGAGGGGGCGGCGGCGGCGGCGCGGCCGGCGACGCGCCAGCCCCGAGCGCCTGGGCCGGGTGCGCGCGGCGGCGCCAGCCGGCATGCTGGAGCGCGAAGGCGATGTCGTTGACGGGGAAGAACTGCTGCATGTGGATCACGTGCGTCCAGTGGTGGCGGCGCTGCTGGACGACAGAGAAGACGTGGTCGTACTCGCCCGGTTCGCCGATGGAGCGGAGGTGGAGGATGAGGAGGTCGACGATGGCGTTGGCGGCGGCGAACTCGCCGCGCAGCCAGGTGATGAAGCCGTCGCGCTCGTCCATGAGCCAGGCGGCGGGCTCGGCCGCGGCGACGGCGGCGCCGGGGGCCGGGGAGGTGATGACGGCGGCGGCGGCGGCGGAGGCCATCGCCGTGCGTCCCTCACCACTGGGGACCCGCGCTCATAGAAAGGCGCAGCCCAGTCAGCAATGCCGAGGGGGAGGGAGATCTAGGGTTTTGCCGTATATTTTTCGTTCCAATGTTGTTGTTGTTCTTTTGTCTCTGGTGGTGGTGCTGCTGGAATGGAGACGAGAGAAAAAAAGAGAGAGAAGGCTCGGCGAGCGGCAGTAGTAGACACTGAGGAGCGAGGAGAGAGGAGGCTTGGCCAGGCGTAGGTGTGAAGAGGAGAGCCGGATCTGGGCATCCGAAGATTCGTGAAACTAGGCGGGCGGGAGGGTGACGCGGTGTCAAGGCGGAAACCCAACGACTATGTGGAGCCGCGCGGCCGACAGATGGGTCCGGACCCATCTGTCGGTGTGAGGGATCGGGAAACGGCGGGTAGGCGGCGGCCGGAGCCCGTGGGGGTTTTGCTTTAGGATTCGCGTGCTGTCTTGATGCTGGTTACGGGGGACGATTTGCAAAAATAAAACTCGAAACATCGATCATTTACAAATTTAATACTAGATCCATATTTATAAACACGGATAAGGAGTCCACCTATCGAATGTCATTTTTACAAATTTTTCGGTTACGGGAAGTGGTGTTTGTTGTTGGTTCGCTGATCGTTATCTCCCACATGCTCGGCTGGTGGACCAAGGACCCACTTGTCAGTGGCACGGAGCTGTGTTTGCTTTTTTTTATTAGAGCACACGGAGGGGTGGTTGTGGCTCGCGGCTGTCTGGCGATTCGGCCAGAGTAACTTATAAATAAGTAGTATTTTTTCAGTTAATAAATAATATTTTGTTTTCTTATAATAAATTAGCCAGCAATAACGGGACAAATTTCGCATTGACCGATAGGGAAAAGCGGAGCAGAAAAGCCGACGCAGCTGCAGTTGAGCAAGGCAGAGACCAGTCACTTGTAGCTGTTCAAATCTCACTGTCCGATATTCAGTCTGTTCGTTAGTTGATTTCTGAGCTGATTTCTAAGCTGATAAGTCTGTTTGATACTCGTTTATTACGAGAGAAAAATATTGTTAACCGTATGATAAGCCCTCCCTGAGAGCCACGACCGAACAGGTTGATTGTGGGCTACCGCCATGCTGGTGGCTTCACGCCTGCCTGCCTGCGTCTGCGTGTGAGGGCCAGGCCCCAGTCATCAGCGGCAGCTCTTGGTGGGGCACGGCACGGGATTGGCGCCAGACGCATACGGCGGCGTCGAGGGCGGACGCCTCGAGATGCGCTTGGCGTGTGACGGACGGCCGATGCTGGCCGAAGCCGCCCGCGGTGGGTGTCGGTTGCAGGCTGCAGCGGCCCGTTAATGTGGATTGTTGCGATGTGGGGTGCGCGACACGCACGGGACAGGAAACGGGAGCCCCTTTACGCCACCCCGGGCGTCGCACATGGTAGGCGCCCCCACCCGTCAGCCACGCCACGACGAGCGTCATCGTCCGCGGCTCGGCACGCCGGCCGGATAGCGGGGGAGGAAGAGGTAAAAGCGGAGTTCGTTTGCGGCGAGGGGTGGGCAAGGTCGCAAAATTCCGTGCTGACTTGGGCAACTCGGGCCGCGTCGGTTTCTCTGCTCCTCGATTTGGAGCGTTCCATCAGGGTTGGGCGCTCCGCGACGGCACGGCGCCCGCACGGGCGGGGAGCCCGCCCAGTCCAGTCCGTTCCGTTCCGTTTCCGACCCGATTGGGAGCGATCCGCCGATCCCAGCTACTGATTCGTGTCACCGTGCGATGGTCACGTCGCACCACAAACATACAAACAGGCCGGGCGGCACGGCAGGTGTGTTTCACGCGCGATTTGCGTCTCATTCGCGAGGAGAACGACGGGTTTTGGTTCGGAAGTGGAGGGCGAGGAAAATCAGCGGGCTGGCGGGCTGGCGGCAGATTCGGCAGGGTGGGGGAGGCCGCAGCCGTGCTGCCGGTGCGGATGCGATGGGTGGCAATGGCACGTTGCCGTGGAAACTGAAAAGCGCAGTGAGGTTGCTTGCGGAGCAATCTTGTTTCCCTGCTGGGTTGTTGAAGGTGCACGGAACGGGGCCGGAACTTTTTTTTTGTCTGGCACCGTTCAACGGAGTGTGTGGGGTTAACTCTCGGAGTCAAACGTCTTGATGCGAGCGATCAAAATCACTCAAGTGGCTGCCATTACCGCCGTGCAACAGGTGGGTGGATTGACCAGGTGCCTAGGACGGGTTCAATGGTTTTACTCATAAATAAATTGGTAATAATCCAGTAACGTCTCTGGTGTTACTACGGATGGCTTTTCAAAGCATGTGTTTTGCAGCCTTGCGCACGTCCGATGGCAACGTTTTTCTAAAGAAATTTGCTGCAACGACAACGACCGCCGAGACTCGCGCGCGCGCGGTGGAACCCGACGCGGAGTATTCACACATTAAAAACGGTTTTGTTTTCCTTTGGCAAGCTTTTACCGTACCAGATTGCTTTACTCGTTTGTTTGCAACGGCACACGACAAGAAGTTGACGTGGGTGTGGGGAAGGGGTTTGAGAAGAACACGTCGGAAGCCAAGCATGGCATCTGGTTTTAGAAGTGTTATATGTACAGGGAGGACGATTGAGACCAGGTAGAGCAGGACCAAAAGTTTGGTACATGTGTACGTCGCATGTATACCATTAGCCTTCGCAGCAACGTGACAATACTTGTTGGTGGTCTGAAGTATTGACCGATATTGACCGATGTTCTGGTCTAAGGGTTCACGAGAACAGCTAAACAAACGTAGAAGACCCTCAGTCTGTTCACTCGTTGGTTTCAGTCAGGACTTATCAATCTAGAAACCAACCGGCGAATAGGCTACCTATCGAAATAGAGTAATGACGACAAACCGTGCTTCGTCCCATTAGAAGGCCCTGTACACCTAGAGAAAACAATTTTAAACAAGGTCCTGTCCTTATTGATCCGATGTCTGGTGATTGGGATAGAAGCTTGGTAAATGGCGTTTTCTCGAAGAAGATGCAAAATACATTATATCTTTTCCGTTGAAAAGTGGTTGGCCTGGCATTTTGATTCAAAAGGAGAATTCTCAGTTGAGTCTACTTACCATATTTTGAAAGAAAAATGATCTCTCACAAAGGAGACAGGTAGGTGAAGCTAGTGCTATCTCAAACCACACTTGTAACATTAATTGGAAGAAAATTTGGTAGCTTCAATGCCAACCGAAGGTGAAACTTTTTTTTCTAGATACTATCTCGTAACAGTCTTCCTCTACGCATGAATATTCTTCGCCGAGGCATAGACATTGATACACGGTGCCCTATATGTTGGCGGCTAAATGAAGATGGTGGGCATTGTTTTTCTCAAATGTAAATTTGTCAAGAAATGTTGGAGAGCTTTGAATTTGGAGCAGCTTCACCAGTCTCGATTGACCTTAGCTCTATAAAGCAGGTTGCCATCAAAATTCTTTAACTAGAAGAGGATAAAAAATTATTAGTGATTGATTTTCTTTGGGTTTGGTGGGATGCACGAAACAAGGCAAATGCTGGGGCCAAAATTATGTCCACTGAGGAGATAGCGTACAAGGTACAAACTATGAAATCTTTTGATAATCTTCGTACACAAGAGAAGGCAAATAAGAAACAAAGTGGAATTTCTTGCTGGTCTCCACTTGCTGCAGACATCTTGAAGATTAATTTTGATGGAGCTTACTCTCAATGAGAAAAGAAAGGTGCATGGGGCTTTATTGTGAGAGATCACAGTGGGCTGTTGTGATGGCTGGGGCAGGAAGAATCAATGTGGTGCATGATGCGCTTAGGGCAGAGGTCCAAGCGTGCCTTGCAACTCTTTATGCAACAATAGACCAAGGTATATCTCATATCCTTTTGGAGACCAATTCATCAATTCTAGTAGAGGCTCTCCAGTCCTGTTCTTATGATTTTTCAGCTAATGGTGTCTTGTTTAGAGAAGCTAAGTTCCTTATGTCTCTGAATTTTAGTCGGGCTGACATTGTCCATGTACCACGATCTTGTAATAGGGGTGCACATGATCTTGCTCATGTTGGTTTGAATTGGGACCCGGATCAATCTCATGTTTGGATCGATCCCCTCCCATAGTTTGTAACAACTTTGAGAGTTCACGATGTAAACGAACCTCCTCAGAATTAATAAAGTACAAACCTTGCTTTAAAAAAGATTACAAATCATCCCGGTGACCTGCTGGGCCTTCTAGTTCTTTGTAAATTTGTGTCAGGTCAAACTAAAGTGTTTTTTGTGCACTTGCCCGTCCATGTAGATCCAATAGGCCTCATTACCAACACACGTCAAGCTGAGCCCAACAATGGCTCCAGTTATCCCCTGCCCCTGATCCCCCACCCTCACTCTTTCCTTTTTTTCTCCTCTCTTGGCAGTGGGTGCTCTTACGTGCATTTGGCATGATTTTTTTAGTAGCTTCTACCCCAACACTTGCCGAAGACCCAACAAATCGACTACTATAACTGTAAAAAAACAAAGGGAGCAAAGCCTATTTTCTATTGCACGCACAGAGACATGTAGATATAAGTCGTGTTTGGCACGGCTTCGCATCCGTGGGCTCCTTCACCAAAGCTAGAGCTGGAGGCCAAAATTGCAAATCGTGGCTCCGCCTCCATACATACGCAGAATCACTCCTTGCATCGTCGTTTGGTGCGGCTCCACTACCAGAGCGCCACCAAACAAGTCCATAGTTTCTCTCTATTTCTCACCCAATCACATGTGAAAGGATGCAAGCACCCTCTCACAACCATGGCGGCATGGGCTATGGCACTGTGGCCCCTGAAAGGATCAAGATGCCCAAGAGAAGGGGTGAATTGGGCTAATTCTAAAGTTCTTTGCAATAATTAAACCCTACACTTAGCCCACTTTACCCCTTGTGCCTAGAATGTGTTCCTATTGTTCTACCGCACAAAAGTTTTGCACCTAGATTTCAATCCTACTGTAACATGGCAATTCTAAGAATGTAAAGACAAGAAATGAATTGCTCAAATGTAAACGCTTAAA